ACATACAGGAGTAATCCTAGAACACACAATTAAAAATATTAAACATATATCCGAAAAATAAAACTTAACTGGTTTTCATTTTGATTATACTTCTACAGTAAAGGAAAGCTTACATTTTCACATTGTGACTATTAGAGTTTCAAAAAATAATTGAAGCTGCTGAATGAGTAAAGTAAAATCCTACACTTTTTGTCCGATAACTGAGATGTAGCTCAGAGTCAAAGACGGAGGGTGCTCATTCACACTTTACAGAACCAGCGTGTGAGACAATGAAATGCAAGGCAAGTTTGCTCATGCTTGTCTATGTGATACCTGTATGAGCCTCTCCAATAGGGGAAGGCCACGAGGAACACAATTGTTCCTCTCAAATGAGCACTGGAGGAAAACGCAGCAAAAAGGGATTCAAATAACAAAACTGCGATATTAAAAAACAATGCTTCCAAACAGGTAGCAGGCATAGCTTCCATTACAAATGCCCAAACACTTCTTGTAACCTTGTTTGAGTTGTCAGCATGTTATGGAATGTTTCCCATATATCTTTATTGATTTCCTGACAGCTGTGACATCCTTCAGATTCACCCCCATTACACTGGGTTCAGGTTTTTCCTGAAATACAACACTAAGTCCAGGAGGAATTGGATAGTGGAGTCATAGCCCTTTACTGTTTTTACAGTTTGCGTTCCTTAAATTAGAGCCTTTTTAATCCCTAAACAAATTAATTGTGTGTCTTCGTTGTTTCTTCAAATGAATTTTGGTTCTTTGGGGAGAATTTAAATTTCTCAACAAAGTCAACAAATCAAAGGATGTTATAAGAGGGAAGAGCAGATCTGCTTTTATACTTTCTTCAGAAGAGATTTTCTCTATAACCTACGTACATTTAATCCTGTTAGCAGTCTGCTCTCTTTTCAGCTGAGCTCCAGCGACACACCTGGTGTTTTAATTTGCAGCTGAATCAGTAAAAAATTAGCAGTAACAAGCAACTGAGACTAATATATTTAATTGGCACAGCTCTGAAAGCAAACTCTACTGCTCCAAAAAGCCTTAACCTATATGTTCCCACTTATTGAACACCTGTGACTACTTAATTTTTCTAAGAAAAAAACAGTTCTCCTTTAATGCAAATGTGTAGTTAGGCCTGTAAGTCCTTCCATTGTTCATTCTGTGCACACTGCTTAGCAACAAGAATACATGTACAATACTCAGATGAATTATGAAAATTCAAAGATGTTTTGAACTAAAAAGTAGCATTGTTTACTTTTTGTGTCAAAAGCTGTGTCAATAAAGAAATTAACATACTTTATTTCTCCTTATTATCAAATTTAGTACTGAATAAGAGGTGGCTTTGAACATCACATTTGCTCCTGGCTGGAACTGGATTGAAAGCAAGGCAAAAAAAAAGCAGGAATAATACATTCCAGTGCATCACTCATTGTGCTATTCTCTCAGGAACTGATTAGTCTGAATTTTCCCATTACTCTGTCTGCTCCCTTGATAGTTCTGGTTACTGTACACTCCTCTTTAACATCTTAAAAGTCTTTTCTCAACCAATATTTTGTCTAATTTCCTATATCTGTATAGGATCTTGATTGCACTAATTCTATCATATTTCTCATTAATTTAATCTTTATTCTTCTTGAAATATCCCTTTTAGCCTCCTGTGTATAGTATTTGCCTTGCTTTTGCATATGTACTGCTAGATCTTTAAGCTCTGTAACAAACATTTTAATTGGCATCACACTCGTTCTCAGCATCGCACCAGTCTCCATTAATTAAAATCACTACTTTTTGAAAGTCTGGATCTGTCTGGGTCATTTGTGTTAGCCCAAAACAGAAACAGGGCTCCAATGAAGGAGCAACAGCATAACAACCACGATTTAAAAAAATAAACATAAATCAAAATATTAAACATTGTTTTCCCAACATAATAATGAAGGCCTGCATCTGTTGCCCGACACTAGGAGAAATCCTCGAAGCTGTCAATAACATTTAAATCTTCCATCATTAAAGTATTTAATCAAAAACCTCAACACAAAAATCATTCCCACCTATACCCCAAGAATGTTTTTAAGATGTTTTAGTGACTTGACATTTGGGTAACTGAACGATAATCCTTATTAACTGGATTATTGTGGCTTATGTTCAGTACTTTCTAACCTTAAATTTAGCATAGTCTACAATTTCTAACCTTAAATTTAGCATAGTCTACAATTTCTAACCTTAAATTTAGCATAGTCTACAATGAAGTTAGTTTCTTTTGATTGTCTCTGTGCAACTTACAGCATTTTTTGCACACGCCCATGAATATCTCAGCATGAGTAGAACTTTAAAAAACCATTAGCATAATGGAGGCTAAATGAGAAACACATGCTTAATTAGAAATTACCTCATCAGTTTTAGTTGAGAGCAAACAGCATTGTTACTACACCCTTACATATGTATTTATTTTTGGAACAAGTAATAGGTTTATTCCATGCAGGAAAAAAACGGAAAGAAAATGTTTCAGCTGTGGAGCCTTCTTCGGTTGTAAGGTGTATTTATTTTAGATAAAACTGACTTCAAGGGTACTGATAGTACACCTTCAGCTTTGCTTAAGCTATTGGAACCATGACATGAAGAAAAACGTAATTTAAAATAATTTAAAGCTACAAACAGAGCCAAAATACCACTTGCTTTCACTTTTTCTTTGTTGGAATAACTTAACTTTCTCGAGTTATCTGAGAAAATACAGTGCAATCAAAACAAACATGCATTATACATCCAAAAGCACTGATCCATTATGGATCTCACAATCTCACAAAAACAGAAATAGGTAAAATAGTAAATGTTAAAAGCAGAAGTACCTTTAAAACAATCTACAGTTTGTTCTGAAAAGGTAATTTTAACTTTGAGATGGGAGCTGGAGCTGTAATAAAAACACAGGAGCTCAGGTTGTGTCCCGCCTTTTCCTTTTGTCAAGAACATATTAAAATACTTTAATTAGGATATAAAAGAGAATACTACTTTCTGCACACTTAATATTAATGCAGTAAAGATCTTCTCAGTCAAAACGGCTCATAAAATGTGCCGAGTCCTTATTTTGTCATATCATCAGTCAAGCTCTGTTTAAGGGAACTAGGCACTTCCAATAGTGTTGATGCTTTCTGATCCCGGAGTAATGCTACCCAACACACTGTAGCATAAAGAAAAAGTTACAACTGGACAATTGTCTTGGTACAGAAATCTAAATTAGTACTGTATATTAAGTATGTAATTAAGAGTCTTACTTGTACTTTTCAGTGTTTGTTTTTACATGGGTTTACCATGACCAATCCTTCATTTCCGGTAACAGTCCAATCTTTTAGTAGCTGACACATCATGATTAAGCAGATAGTAAGAAAATGCTCTTCCATAGGAGCTTAGAGGTTTTTTTTTAATCCATTTAGGAGTTGCTCATCGCTTAAATTCCAATTTGATTGCCAACAAGTCTGTTGTTTATAAAAATTACAGAATTAATTGTACAATTTCAGCTTCAAGGGTTGTTCAAACTGTTACAGATTTAAAGCTTGAACGAAGAAAGAATGGTTTTCACTTGTATCGGTGCAATTGTGAAAGACCACACATAACGAAATTTCCCTTTCTGTTTAATCAGCGAGCTAAGATATTTCTAAAGAATCACTTACCTTTTTTCAATTTCTGCCCCTTCAATAAATATAACATACAATCCCAATAGTTAGTTCCAGCTGTGAATTAAAATTCTTGCTAGTTTCAAAAGAAACGAATTGCTCTGATTAACTAAAGTATTAACATTGAAACAACTTGTCAGTTTATAGGTTTCGAAAACGATTCAGCAGCAAAAGTTACAAAGAAGTTCAAGAACAGGTGTTCTGTTTTTTTCTCCTTTCATCTGCAGAAGCAGGCCCCAGGAAGCAAATCTCGGTGCTCTCGGGTTTCGGCACCTGTTAAACATTTCTTCAAACAGCATTTTAGCTTACTGCTTGTGTTTCACAGAACTCCCTAAATCTCCAAAGCCAATTACGAGGTCAAAAGTGAACTCCTTTGCGAAAGTTTACTTTCACAAAGTTAACGTCCCTCGTGAGTATTCAAAATCTGCACTGTTTAATATCACCTGGAAATGGTGCGAGAAAATGTCTCTAACGCATTACATTATATTCCTAAAGATTTTTTACCTAGTATAGGTAGGGCAGAATCCCATTTCATAATATTTTGTTGTTTCGGCGAAAGCTTTTTTATAGTTCGAACTTTCGGGTAAAACTTCACCCAAACAACACACGAAATGATACCTTACTTCAGCGGTGATTCATGAAAATCACATACTGGAGAAAACGTGGGCAGAAAACCGCAAACAGGTAAAATACTATGCAGCCAAAAGGTGACGTAGGTGTTATTTGAAATCATATCGTAAAAGATAACTCCCTACACACCTTTATTTCCAGGCTAAAGGTCTGTATTTGAATAAAAAATAGTCCTGGTTAGATTAGGAAAGGATCAAGCAACTTTTCGGCTGTTGAGCCTTCTTCGGGTTTCACAGGCGAAACGTTGCGTTTTCTTTCTTCTCTTTTCAGCATTAATAAATAAAACTATAACGTGTTCTTTTGCAGCCTGCGCATGCTGACGCAGCTACCCACCTGGTTAGATTAGGCTGATCATGCAGCCCGTTACACACTGAAGACGTAAAAATACAAAAGTCTCCCAAAATTGTCAAAAGATCACCGAGTTTCCCTCCACTTAATTATTTGTACTATACTTTGATTAATGAATATCTGCTGTCCTTAAATTTTTTAAGTTTTAGATATATTTTCCACGGTATCTAGTTCTAGTTCGTTTTGCACGACGTGGTGAGTGCGTGTGCTAATTAACAAGAGTTGTCTTTCTTAATTTCCATTAACACCATAATTTGTTTCTTATCGTGATGAAAGGACAAACTACTAACGCTTCCTGTACACATGAAGGAAGAAATCCCGAGAAAACAATCCCATTTCTGCTTGAGGTGTTGAAGTTACCTGTTGCGGCATTCATCTGTCCCCTTCTGTTCCGTCTAATTCCGGGGTCCCTGATCTCTCTCAACTCCTCCTCTTCTTCTTCCAGCCAGGCTTCAGCCATCAGAGGAAAAACCGCATTAAAAAAAAGGGCAACATAAAACAAAAACAAAAGCCCCTTCTCTCAGCAGCACCGGTCTGATATAATCTGACGAATCCGCTGAGCAAGCGGGGAGCTCCGGTCTCCAAACAGTGTAGAAGGCGCAATAAGCCCAGCGAACTCAAACTAGGGGGAGGAAAAAAATGCACTCGAATAAACGAGAAAAAACAAAACAAAAATCAGTACGTCGGAAACTAATTCACTTTTTTTATTATTATTATTTTATCACCGACGTTTTGCTGGTGCTGTTTAATGTCCACTTTCAAAAGGTAACACCATCGCGGTACAAAAAAAAGCACATCTACCTTTCAACACTTTCCTAAATATCCCTGCGTCAACAGGAAATCCATCACAGCAACGGCAGCTGTAAAACAAAAGGAGGTGGTGCTTTCGGTGCCAACAGGGGTAATATTGGATGGATTTAAGCAGAAGTATTTGTTGTTACAGCACGGTAAAAAAATGGAGATATTTTTACAGATGTGTTAGTTATATATTCGTCCGGCAAAGAGGTGTTCAATGTAAAAGACAAAGTGCAGAAGAGTTTTTTTTTTGTCTTGCCTAATCTCCCTTTGCCATATCGAAATCGGAGCAAACGGTGTGGAAAACTCACGGTTAAAACTTAGACCTTTGTTGCCAAAACTGCGAAACTAATCCTGCATCGACATTTCGAAGAAATTGTGTATTGTCAATAGAGCGAGACAGTACCTCCGCCTCGCAGCGCAGTTTTACGTAATACTGTCGACTGACAGTGCAGAGCAGGTTCGTACAAGCAGAGAAGACAAATTTACTAACGAGAAGGAAAGTTCAGCTACGTAAAAAGTAAGGAAAAGGCATCCGTAAAACCCTTTAATTTTGAGTATAGAACACTAAACATAACCCATTTATATTTTAATATAAACACTTGAACAAACACATTTGTGTATTTGACAGTTTTTACAAAATATGTTCTATACAATTTCTCCCCATGAAGAATGAAAACCCATCTTGCACCTGAGAAATCCATTTCCAAATGTATCGGTACAGATTGAATTACACGATGTTATTCGTGTAGCAGTCTACTGTTAATGATTACCAGAACTGAGTATAATTATTTGTTAGTAGTTCAGGTGGGTAGCTCCACGGCGGTTCTGTTTTCTTTCTTCTCTTTTCAGCACGGAATAAAACTATTACTTGTTCCTTAATTATTTGTTAGATTAGTTTCTAAGTAAACGGGAACTAAATGTTGCTACTGAAAACATTTTATTGTTGCGTGTGCTAATTAATTTATCAATTAAAAAGTATATACATTTTATAATTTAATGCCATGTAATGTCTTTATCATTTGTAAAGGCGCCATGAAAGTGACTTTTTTCTTACATTAAACATGTTACTAAATCTAAAAATGAATGACTGAGCCAAAATAATTATGGTTCCACGATACATTGTTAGACAGGTAGTCTCAATGACGGCATGTATATCTTTAGAACGAGATGTTAACTGTAATGGCATTGGGGTTTTATCAACTGTTTCTGTTGAATCACAGGTAAAACATGTTTTCCTTGCTTGTTCCATCCAGAAATTGTGAGCATGTACAGACTTGTATTTTTGAATTACCCATCCCTAATTCTTTTTAAGGGCTGCTTGCAAAACACTTGAAATAATTCACTATTTGCAGTGGTACCGAGTAGTTTATTCCTCTTAATTTAATTTAATGTATATGCAGCTTCTTAGAAAGTAAGGTGGTCTATTCAAACAATTGTATCATGAAACCTCCACAACCGTCATGTGGAACACCTACTGTAGAAGTGGCACCATAAGGAACATGGATATTTCATGTGTTTAAAGACAGTTTACATCTGAAATAAACAATTCAGTGTGATTCTGTATGGCATCTTAATGAGGCAGATATTGTTTGATACACAACAGGCTTGAGGCAGCCCCCAGAAATGACATGTGTCAGATCTAGAAATTGTGGTGGGCACATTTGAGGGTATTGTTATCTGAGGATACAATGATTAAATTAATGTGAAAACAGCTATTTCAGCGGCTGTTCAGTCTGACCATGTGGGTTTAGGTTCACCAACATCAGCTATCCATCAAGTGTTGTCCAAACAAGGAACTATAACACAAAGTCTTGTCAGGATTGTTGATGCCCAGGTTGTCATCCAGCACGGATGTACATCCATCCATTTTCTAACTTGTTTATTCCAACACAGGGTCACGGGGAGCCGTAGCCTGTCTTGGCAAGCAACGGGTGCAAGGCAGGATACACTCTGAACAGGATGCCAGTCCATTGCAGGGCATTCACAAGACACAGTAAAGAAAAAATATTGACAGAGAAGGAGGGGTTACCGAGCCATGCCAGGATTTTGTAAAGGTGCATGAAATGATTTAGGATATAGAGTTGTCCTTGTCTCCTGAGGTTTATCCATAGAACTTTCTTTCCCATTTAAGAAAATACAGTTTATGATTTCCCTAATAAAACAGGCAATAAAATAGAAAAGGACTCACAAGAAACTCACAATTCTCATTTTGAACATTTATTTTTATTTATTTCTGGTCCTTTCTTCTTTTAATATTAAACCTGTTGACTTGGATACATACTAGTCTAAAACAAATGCATGCAGAGAATACTGAGAATTTCATGAAATCAGGTGGGTTATCTTGCCAGGTAGAATCCTGCCCCAGGCCAGGGTGGTAGGCTGGATTTAGAGCAGTGTCCTCAGAACTGCAAAGGAACTGCAGTGGATTAGGGTCTAGGGCTAGGCTATAGGTAGGCAGGACAACAAAGGACAGAAATAACAAAATAGAAAATTAATAAAATCTCAAACATGTCCTGTAGGACATGTGCGATGGCTCTGTGGCTAAGGATCTGTACCTGTGGCTGGAAGGTTACTGGTTTGTATACCGTGGCCAGCAGGGGAACTACTCCTACTCCAGGGGCGCCGTATGAATGGCTGACCCTGCACTCTGACCCCAAGATTCTCTCCGTCGGTGTGTCTGTGTGTCTCATGGAGAGCAAGTTGGGGTATGTGAAAAAAGACAAATTCCTAATAAAATAAATTGTATGTGGCCAATAAAGTGATCTTCTTAAAGTGATAATTCTCACAAAGGCAGTATTATATTTTAAAGACATTCTGAATATGAATGATGAAATGTAGTCCTTTAGAATGAACCATGTTTTCTGAATTTTCCATTCCTAAAGATAATAATTCCATTCAGATTTTGTTTGTAAATACACAAAATAGAATTGATTAAAAATATATGTATCCTCTTTATTTTTCCAAAGAGAATGTATTTTGTCTGGATCCAAAAAGCTTAACTTCTCTTGTAACTGTATGAAACTGGAGTAAAAATCAGCTTGAATATATGTTTGTTGTTTTTGATTCATTATGAGAACCCAGTCTGAATTGAACACATTTTGTAAGATGTAGCATTATATTGTTCTTTAGTTTCTACTACTGCACCCAAAGGAGGCATGTACATATATAAATCTTTATTTAGGATAAGGTCTGTTTCCCTCCATTCCCATCCACAGCTCACCTTGGAAACAAATGTTAATTTAATGCACCCAGTTAAATAAAAAGGGTAGCATTGGATCTCAGAATGACACTTTCAGTAGGCATATTCAGTAAGGAATGCACTTAACCCAAGGATTAAAGCTAGTGGATTCTGTAAGGACTGATAGTTATATAATAATCAAGGCAGATCAAACTGACCTAAGAGTATTTCATTAAAGAATTTAAAGAATGGCGTGATCATCTGTATCAAATACAGCAGTCAATTCCAACAAAAAAACAGCTATTAATAATTGAGGTAAAACACTCCCTCTGGAATGGGAATTTTAGACAACTCTGCAAATCTAAGAGCAAGCACGGGCAGTTTGAGATGAGTTATGAAGTCTTAGAATATGTCTTAACAAAACAAGCTCAGAGATGACTAAATTAGATAAAGGAGGTTAAGACTTTGTAATGTAATCAGTGAAATCAAAGAAGCAAAGAGACTTTTGAATACTGCAGAAAATGAAGACCTCCCATGTTTCATGACAATCAAAACAAAAATGTTTTTTTCCTGAGGATTCAGCAATCTCTTGAGTCTTCTGTATAGTAGATCGTGGCCTGTTGATAGAGATAAAGAACTAGAAATTTAATAGGAACAAGTTATAGGTTTATTCCATGCTGAAAAGAGAAGAAAGAAAACACAATGTTTCGGCCATGGAGCCTTCTTCAACAAATTCTTGTTTTAATTGGTGACCTGGATATGAGGCTACCTAATGCTGTGCACCCATGTAGAATATGTTAATTTACTTGAGTGTGTTTTTGTTAATAGTTTACCAAGGCAAATTCATTTTAATTCTAAAGGTTCTCATATCTTCAACCACCACTTGCAGTGCGTCGTGCTGAAATGCTGTAACAATTATCCATCAGATTGTGTAATGCCATACTTTTTTTAAAACTTCAACGTGCTACTTCGAAGTAACGGTGACAATGGGTTCCTCAGAAAGAATGTTTTCTGATTTTTTAAGTAGAATGCTGTAGCAGTGTTTGCTGTAGAGTATGTGCTCATCAAACACAGCTAAAACCACTAGCTGGAGTCTGTAGTTTAAAATGTTATCCATGAAGAATCTCTCCCCTGTTGGTAATTGTCTCTGCCTGACCTAAGACCAAAGGCTTGTTCCCTCTTCACCAATGCCTGAGCTTTTAATCAATACTATGTCTGAAGTTGCAATCAATATTATAACGGAGTTCTTTTCATTGCATGAAAACAAGGCATTTAAAACATCTATGACTTCTTGGTTTGCAACTGAGAAGTGCTTTCGTACTGAGTGCTTTATTGGTTGCACACCATTGATGGGAGAATTCGTCTTTAATTAAGTTTTACTTGTTTTAATTTTGTCTTCCAGGAAAATGTGAAGTGTTGGCACACTAAGGCAGCAGATTTTTAATCAACTTCTGCACACTTATTTATGTCACACTGACTGTTGATTCAAAATAATTTGAATTTGATAGTTTGCTGTGAGCATGAAAGCCATTTTGGAGGTGTATTCAGTATTTTCATGAAGTACTACCTCTTTGTTGATAACCAGACAGCACTGTAGCATTGCACTGTATATCACAGCATGACCATATTGTCCATTAATAGTTATATGATATAACATGCAGTGGTGTAACACTGTATCTAATGTTTATTCTCATTGGATCGAATCAAATGTAAGTTTAAGGACCATATTGAAATATTGGTGGATTTTATGTTGTGGTTGGTTTGTAAAAATGTTACCTCCCACAGATGGAATGTGTAGAGCATAGTTTGGATATTGAAAATGGAACTTTATATCACCTTTTTATCTATGAAATACAACATCAGCAAAAATATCTGACATCAGTACCACATATCAGCATATCCTTTGTTGATATCTGCCATTGTAAATGACACCACTGTAGTATAAACAGCCATTAACAATTCATTTTTCAATAGTGCAAAAATGGCTTTTGTTTAAAATCTTTCCAACTTTTATGAAATAGAATAAAAATATTCTTATTACCATAAAGACAGGGCAGCCTTCTTAGTACAAGTGCAGTAGAGAAAAACATCTGATCACAAAATAAAGGTGTTTTATTTAGCAGGGTAACACTAGATGTCACTATACACTTAGATTCTCCACTGAAATACAAGATCAGCTTGAGATTTATTTCATGCTGCATTAAGATGCGATACAATGTGTATTTTCTTTTTTTAATAGTGATGTATCCTGTTTAAGTACTTTTACTAGCCCTATTGTAAGAAAGTGATTGGTGTTTTTATGTTATGATGTAAGCACAGATCAGTATAAGTTTCCAAGAAATGCAGTGAACATTGCTAATAAGACCTGAGAGGTGGCCATTACATTATAATAAGGAATACAGATATTCCTTATTTATAAAAAAATAGTTGGTAAATGTAAGAAATGTTAACGTGCAGAAGGAAACAAGTTGATCCTGCATAAGCACAACATGAGTGAATGAATATGAGATGGAGTGAAAGGAATGGGGATGAGAACTTGCTATAACTGATCTGACTGGGAGACCTTATTAGACTAGTACTGTTCACTGCTTCCCAAAACCTTAATTAATAGCACTAAAGCTTAATTATAAGTGATATTATAAGTAACGTCTTATGGTTTGTATATTCCTCACATTTCAGAGATCCCTGTTAATTTCTTAGAAACATAAATATATTCATAGCCTAAGGGAGCACATTCAGTTTGGTCAGGAAAATGTCTAGCTTTCGGGACACACAGTAATTTATCCCCTGCCCCAGGAAACATCCCTCCTTCTTTCAGAATACACATTCAAGAAACAAATCAATAATGTATTCCAAAGAGAATTGAAAATTCAACAAATGTTACTGGTAACAATACTCATATGTTACAGTGCTCAATATTACCTGTGATAGATCCCTGTTTCAGGGACATTTATACATGAAACCACTCCACATTAACATGAACATGAAACATTTAAGTTTTATTCTGACTTTCATAACCACGAAAATAAAACAAACATCAGAGCTCTAACAAGATTTCTTAATTTTTCTCAATCTATTATTGCAGCCAGACAGTCAGTTTAGACAGAGATCTCCATCTAGTCTGAATCTACTGCCATATCATACCCTTTAAAAACATTAAGAAAATGTGTTATTAAAGTAAACTGGCTGAGCCTTGTGTTACAAGAATTTCTATAACCAGAGTGCTTGAGAAAGGATTTTATTAATCATATTTTAAAATTCTGCTCTAACACGGGTAGGCAGGTATCATAGAAAAAGTAAATGTTTTGCATTGCCACATCAGCTGTCAGCTGGGAATTTTGAGGATCAGGTTATTTCAAATCAACACATGTTTTTTTTTATCATAGCAGGCCCTGGCCACCATATTTTCAAGATCTGAATCCTTGTACCTTTTTTTTTCTGTGGGGCAGATTTAAGGCAAAGCATGCAGGAATAACCTGCGCACAGACAACTGAAGATCTAAAAAATGAAACATCCTAAACTGAAATGGGCCTTTCAAGTGAACTGCTGGTTGTAGAAATACAGAACATTAAGACAAGATTCATATAATAATGTTCTGAAACATTATTGTATCTTCCTATCTAATTCATTTGAAAGAATCTAGAAAAATACTCTCAACTTATGACCCTATATCTGTCTTAGGTTTAGTCTCTTTCTTACTAAGTTTCAGTGGCTCTGTTTATTTTGCAGGAGAAGTTTTTTTTTTTTGGGGTGGGGGTAAAGTTCTGTTGACACTGACCTCCTTCTTAAAGTTAATGGGTAATTAGAGAACAACAGTTGTCCATTGTGCTGGACCATAGCTTGGATCCTTTGTCCACCACCAGATAAACTGTGGCTGTCCTAACTTGAGAAAAGTGGAGGCAGCTGCCCGGGTCATCATAGAACATGTGTTCACAAGATTCTGCTGCCCTCAGCGGTTTGCACACAAGCTGCCTTACCCAACTGCTCAAACACCTGCTGACACTCACTGCATGCAGGCCTTTCCCTCCCACTGGGCACAGGTCAGGCCATTCTTTTTCACCATGGGGAATTCTTAGGCATCCTCTCATCGGAGCAAAAGATTTATTTGATTTGATTGGTTGAACCACAGCCTACTCTTCTTTCCCTTTTATGTATTGAGCACAATCAGTTGTAGCCGTGATTATCCATTTGGAAATCTTTGTGCTCATAAACAAATCAGAACCCGACAAAAAGTATCAGAATGATGAAAATAAACTAAATAGCATATTTGATTAAATATCCCTCCATCCGCCCATTTGATGGATGTAGGTTATCCCGTTGACTATAGAGGGTGCAAAGGGGGACACAAAGCACACCATTGTTTCCCTCTGCAAAGAACACTTGTCCATTGCAGGTTATTTGTTAAAACTAAAAACAGACTAGTTAAAATGTTTAGGGAGTTACAGAAATCAATATGTAAGAACTCAGCACACATATGCAATCACATTTGCATTAATACTTCAGTTTAAAGCAGAAAAAAATGTCTATAGTTGGGCTACAATTCATTTAAGTTAGCATCATAAAAAAAAACGTTTTAGTTTAACAAAAGGCTGAGAAAATGGTCTGAAGACTTAAAGGATTCCCATTGCTCTGGTTTGTACCCAGGTGGTAGTTGTCAAGGTCAGATAACATTGTGAAGCTGGGAGAGCTTAAGATGTTACAACAATGAAACCCAGAAGAGACAACAAAAGCATCTGTAATATGCACTGCAGGAGATTTTTCACTTGCACAACCTGTTGAACAAGAGTATCCCAGAGAACATCTGAATAACACTAGATAGCACTGAATATCAAATGGTAATATAATGTCCATTTAAATACCATTGTACTAAGTTGAATAGTGGTACTAAATTACCCACCACGTTTTGAAAATTAAGTCAGATCCTTAGGCATTAAATGCTGTTTTCCCTTTTACTCAATCCTAGGGTAGGTTTAGGATTTTGAGTCAGCTGGCCGTGTTTTCTCATTTGCTGTATTTTATTTTTCCTTTCCCCTTTAGCTCGGGAATATAGCTAATGCGGGCAAGAGTATTTACAGTTCAAGATTTTCTCATTCAAAAGGGACTATTGCATCATCAGCTATTTCTTCTTATTGATAATTATAACTTATAAGATCAGTTAATTTAAAAGCTTCGGTATAGGTTTTTTTAAAAAATAAGCCACTGGGTTCCTACAAGAGGTTCACTTGACACGCTAGCATTCTCGTTGTTGTTTTTTACTTTAGAATTGCCAATTATTTTTTTGTTCTACCCACTCCAATAAAGTTATTCATATTTTATTTAAACTCAAGGTCCTGTTTAGACGAAGTACTTAAAAAGCTGATATGTCCTTTATAAGGACTGGAGCCTTTGGCAGAAGACTTCTGTCAGATGGGCACTACACTGACAGCTGACCCAGGGCATGTCTCCATGTTTTGCCAAATAACTCTTTCATTTATGTTCTCTGATAATTTGTTCATGTCAATCAATATTTTTTTCTTTGAGTTCATGCCATTACATTTAAGAGATTCTTTCGCGTTTCCTTGAAAAAGACGCTTTGCTTAAAGCAGTTTAGAGAGCGCGCTACAGATCTCGCACGCCAACTGGTTCCTCTCGTGTTCTCGCTTGTCCGTGGAGAAACAAAATCGAAAGCAGGAAGGAAAAAATCATACATGACGTACTGTACCTAAAACTTGTGGCTACAGACACATAGACACATAGTTGTACGTATTGCAGAGCGTTCTTAGTACCACAACAGACATCATTCTTCCCAGAAATATTATTGAGGACATCTGTTTCTTTTTAGTAAAGTTCTTTTTTTTATATATAGCTGAAAATGTTACTAATTTATGTTCAAATGGTTTATTTAAATTACATGATATTCATATACTCCTGTTGAACAAAACAAAACGTTTGTCAGCCCAAAACCATACGATGATTTTTAAAAACGTTAACATTCATTAAGTTTGTGTTTTAAAATATAATTTATTTTTTTTAACATTTAGTAACAATTGTTTGTTGGTCGATGTCTAGAAGTTGAACTGCACCATGACTAAAGGTAAACTAGCGATTTTTAAGTACTTTAATGTAAAGATATCTTTGATTTACGCAAAACATAACATGCCTTGTCGTTTCCTTAATAGTAATACAATACTCCTGGGTATGATAATTCCAGCAATGCCCTTGTTTTGTGAGTGTGTGTTTGGGAAGGGGGTCGCCATTCTATTAAGACAGTACTAGTATGGTATCCATGCTTTTCCACATCCTCTTAAATTCCTAGTGGGATTTTCATTCATCTCGGGAGGGTCTTCAAATCTAAATTATAACACAATGAGCCGACACTGGTGCAAAGCAACACAAACGTGGTGTCCAAGGCGGTTTATAGATGGTTGGCCCTAAATAGCATCAAGGTATAACTAGGTATTACGTTGTTAGACAAGGCGATCAACAACGATAATTTACGATATACTTTTCTAAAATACAATATCACAGACGTAGAACCCTTCAACTGCATGTTCCAGGAGTTGTGTTTCTGATCAAGCACAATAACAGACAACGCCTTAATTAATAGACCCTGCCGTCTAAGGCTTTGAAACTCGAACATTAATCCCCACTTCCCTGTACTAGGGCGGCTGAAAGGAGGGAGGAGCGAAAGGCTGGACTCAAAACTCACCTTATACTGTGACAGAGCAGCCCAGGTTACTGCGATAAACTGTTTATTTTTTAAAATCAAACCTCATTTTTTTCCTAAATGCGGGCAACCGGCAATCGAGATAAAAGGTTCCAGCTTTGTTCTCACAATTATTTGGGATTTACAGTGTTTTCCAAGGGAAAGAAAGAATTGTGGCTTGCGGAGAATATCTTCGGTTTTTAGCAAACAATAGCTTCAACTTGTGACACCTGGTGAACAGTTTGACATGTTTCTTGCATAATATATTTTTCTTTAAATAAGGCGTCTAAACTGTTGGAGAGTATACAAAGCGTTCAACTGTCGGATTCTTACAGTAAGTAGACTTCTTAATTCTTTACCGCCTTTATTTTTAACAGCTTAGTAACATCTGTTTAGTTAGGGAATCCACTTAAAAATACATTTAAACTTCGTCTCTTAGTGTAATTGATAGTGTTATATATATATATGAACTTAGCTTATATAAAAACTTGCTTACGATAAGAATGAAATGAAACCCAACGGAACTGCACCGCTTTTTAAGCTGCGTGATACTGTAAACCTCAGATAAACTGCTCGCCTGAAGGCCGACAGAAAACTAAACGTTTTGTCTGCTGGATTTAAAAAGCATTTTACTAAGTGCATGTTTCGTCTTATTTTTTTACTTTAATTGTCATCCCATCTGAAGGAGGTGTAGCAGCGACCTTCTCTGTAAAATCCGGTTGTTGTACAGTATATAAACAAGCCTGAAAGGGATCTCCCTTCGGTGCCATGGAAACTCAAGACACATTGATACTAGTTCACCTGGTGGCAGTGAGCCAAGAGGTGAATAAGACAAGAGCTGTTGTGTGACTTGGGGGAAATACCACACTAAATACTAAGCCTTGTCAAAATGTTGCTGCATTATTCATTAATCATAATTTGACATTGAAAAACAATATGTATTGTAGCCACTTACATTTGTTACATTTCTAATGCTTTTCAGTATATAATACATTTTATTTATAAGTGATTTTCAGAAAAACTTAAAGCACTGTTCAGTAGCACACATGTAATACTCATATCAGAAGTAAAAATTCAAAAGTACTGTATTCAGGGTGTATAATGGATTTGAGGAATGTGTTCCACAGACAAGGTGCTGCATACGAGATTGTTTTACTTTTCATTATGTGGAGCCTTGTCTGTGAGATAAGACCACCTGAATCAGCAGATTTTAGATGAAGTGTTAGACTTAACTCGTGCAGTAAGCCCTTAAGATAGGGGTGTCAGATTCAATTCGTGGAGGGTGTAGTGCCTTCTAGTTTGTGTTCCACCCATGTTTGTGATTACAAAGGTGTTTTTTTAATTAGCTGTATAATTATTATACATCTAATCAGGTTCTGTTGTCAGTTCTATCTATGTTTTTAATGGAGTGAACATCACATACAAGCTTCTGTGAAAGACCTTAAGAAAAATCCTGTATTTGTCTTGTGTATAAAATAATTAGGTTAATTGTTTAATTGACTACTCAGGTTGGAACAAACACCAGAAAACAACTGACCTTCCAAGAGGTGAGTTTGAAACCCTTACCTTAAAATAGCGTGGAGCTAGGTCATTCACAGCAGCAGGAGATCCTTCATGTCCAGTCTAAATTTCACAGAGAGTCTACATTTCACATGCAATTTGCATAAGATAGGAGTTAAATGCTAATGCAGAGTAGATATAGGTAGCACACAAGCTGTAGAATTCTAGACATAGTCAAGTCCAGTTAGTAGCCTGGCAGATGCCACAGCAAATTAGGGGATGAGTTTAACTTTGATTAAATGAAAGCATGTATCAATATTTCAGTTCTGGACAGACATAACATAAGCATGTGTTGCAGATGGAAAGACAATACCTTTGTGACTTTTCTAGTGAGAGTTTCAAATGACAAACACAAACACAGGACTAGAAGTAACACCAAGATATCTTACTTTTGTCAAGGTATTCATTTCTGGACCAACAACAACAACAACACTGGAATCATTAAACTTGCAAAACTGATGTTGGGAACCTGGGAGCACTCCCCTCAGAGATTTGAAAAGAAAGTTATTTTGCTTCCATATCTGAATATTGGGCAGACAGCTTCTTAAAAGCATCAGCAGTAGTATGTGCATTGGTCTGCAAGTAAATCTGAGTGTCACCAATGTAGCAGTGCAACCCAGGTCTATAATAAGTAATCTACTGACAATGTAAATAGTCACGGGAAAGTTCTTGCACATTTGCTCTGTGAAACATCTTGAGCAAATGGGATAACAACTGATTTAAAACAGTCACCATTTATGAATGGAGCTCTTTTCACCTGATGGGAGCCCAGCCAATGAAGGGTAGTAACACCTGTCTCTTGGTAAATGTCTGTGTGCTTCAGTAGGTTGCAGTGATTGACAGCATCAAAAATGCTACCTGATATATACCGAGCATCAAGGGACACTTATCACTCTATTTATGCAATGTGTTTTAGAAAACTTAAAGTAGGCCTACATGAATTTTATATATTATATGTTTTTGGCATCATTTATTAAATCAATTATTAATGAATGACCATGATACACATGAGTAACCTCACTGCGTAAGATTTGGGATAATTTAACATGCTGAATGTCAAGCCAGGCAAAAAATTAGAATAAAGTATAGAGCGGAACTAATGTGCCTGTCTAATTAAGTGGACAACACCTGCATGCCATCGGTATGTTGGAAGCTAGACCAAGTTTGAGCATAGTTTTTCACTGTCTGGGTTTTCAATGCCTGGCGCAGTGTCAGATACCAGATACAGTCCATCAATGACAGGTTGCAGTCTGAGAGATCACCAGTCACAGAACCTTGCCAAGATCAATAGGCAGAACTAAGTGTGTCTGGCTAGGGGTGTCTGGTCATTACAGAACTCCATTTCTAGTGATTAATAACAACCTGACCTCACTCGCTGCCTCTTCTATAGGCTCATCCTGATGCGATATCATTCCAATAGGACAATGCATGTCCTCACACAGCCCCATTGAACATTGGTAGGTTGAGCTGGAATGATACAGTATGTGATATGTAGGACTCAGAGATCAGTGAACGGGCAAATGTTTGTCCAGGATCTACAAGATGTCAAGATCCAACAAGGCGGCACCTACAATGTGGTCCAAAGCATGCATTGCTTCCAACACAGCTACTTGCATTAGCAGCCTGTGACTCTAATGGTATGGAAATGACTGGCTGTTTCTCTGTTTTCAACTATCATTTAGTATAGATATATCAAAAGTTTGCTGAACCAATCATATAGCAACTAGCATACATGAGAACATTTTAATTGATCATTGCTTCCATACATTTTTAGTTCTTATTTTATTACTTTTTTAAAAACTTGAATACACTCAGTTCAAACCAAACCTGGAAGTAGGCCTTTTCACAATTAAGCTGAAAGGAGCTAATCTGCTGAGTTTAGTTTGTTTGAATGCATAGAAGCTCTTTAAACCCTTAAGGACACAGGTGAAAGCTGAGCTGCAGGGAAATAGAAGCCATGTGCTGGTTTCAGACATCTCTGTACCTCTGTTTTAAATTACTTCAACAACATGTTTACTGCAATAAATTAGCCTAATACTTCAAATAATTATTACTTGTTTCTTAACATTAGTAGAGATAAGTTTGCAGTGATTCACTGAAGGTCTGAACCAGTACACTGACTAGATTTTACAGACCCTAGTGCATTTTGGCAGATGTTGATAAATTGTTCTTCTGTATTGCTATAGAGTTTCTAATTAGAACACACATGCAGGGATTTTATCTTCTAACAGAAGATGAAATGTATGATTGTGTAAGTAAGAGACATGATGGCAAAGTATTGCTGTTTCATCTTCTTGTGCAGGCAAAGCTTGCCTCTCATCTTCTGATATTAAGCAGCAGCTACCCCTTCACTATAAGTACCACACACAGAACAATTGCCGCCTTGTGTGTCCCAATCAACTGGTGTTTAAGCCTCTCACAAATCCTGGCTTCAGCTGCAGCCTGTAATTTAAACTGCTGTGCGCAAATATATCCAAGGAACATGATTCATCTGCAACAGCCTTTCTATTCAAAATCTCAGAAGCTTGTAATGTAATAACCTGGGGCACTCAAGTTTATAATCTGCATGAAACAGTATAGATTTAATGTTGGTGATTTTTCAATATATGTGATGAATGTATACGGTACACAGAACAGTCATTAGTCACTGTGTCAGAACCATTTTTGGTAATTAAGCTACAGTATATGGTGGAGCAATGGTTAACATTGCTGCCTCTGAATGCTGGGGTTCTGGATTCAAATCCCGAGGGCCCACCTGCATGAGGTTTGTATGTTCTTCCCATGTTCATGTGGGTTTCCTGCAGGTGCTCCAGTTTCCTCCCACAGTCCCAATGAAACTATACTGGTTGTTTCACTGGCTTCTGGGAAAAGTGCTCGTGGTGAGAGTGTGTGTGTCTGTGTGTGCACTGTGGCGTCCTGTTTAGGGTCTACAGTATTCTTGCACCTGTTGCTTGCTGGGATAGGCTCTGGCTCCCCTGTGACCCTGAGCTGGATGAAACAGTTATAAAATAGGTGGATGGGTTATTGGTGACATGGGTAGTTTCTTTTTAAGTCCCTCTGAGTCTCTTCACAAGAAAAGTTAAATGTTTTCCTGTCACATAATGTACAAAATAGGAAAAAAAATGAAATTCCTATTATCCTCATCAGTGGGACTTTTTAAAATAAATATTTTTTTTATTTTGTAAACCATTAAAATAATTTTATTCTCTTAACAAATCCCAACAATCCTGATCATTCATGTATATATATATACATTTATGGAATTTTAGTAAACTGTAAATTACAGTGGTAGCTTATCCCTGTGAAGACAGGATGTGGATGGAAAGGCGAGGAGAAGTAAATTTCAGGAAATGGTCAATTTGTTACTGTTTAGGAGAAAATAGCAACCTACACGTGCAGCCAGTCAATCATCCCCTCTCATAGCCTCTGGTCTGGATAATTCACAGTATCACTTTTATCTCTTTCAATTTGGAACCAGCCTCAAAGTTCACTCAAAACACCCATGGGACCTTTCAAGTCAAATTATCAGTGTGCAACATGCTACCAGTCAGCTGTCTCCCAGCCAAGTAATTGTGACGCAAAGTCAGATTCGAATTTAGATTCTATTTGCTATAACAGGGGTCATGCCAGCCTGGAGGGTCTAAGGAAACCCATTTCAGCCCCATGAGAATGATTTAACATATTGCAGTACTTTAATCCACATAACCATCTCTTTGCTGGCTAGAGTTTAAATTGGTTTTATGTATTTCCCACATTTCCCACAAGATGTAGTGTTGTGAAACTGTGTTTTCTCCCTTTCAGGTTTTCAGATTTGTTGCATATTTTCACCATTGAATGTTATTTGAGCTCCATGTGCACGTCCTAGTGTGCTCCATATTTAAATGGAGTTTTAATGAACAAATAAAACCAGAGTCTGGTGCTTGCTTAATGTATTTAGTAAACAAAGTCATCCATCATCCAAGGCCCCTGTGTAAAAAAATAATGTCCCCATAGTTCCGTCAGTTCAATTAAAGGGACAACAAGGGCCAGCTGCATGAATACTTTATTAAACAATCAGGGCTGATGTTGGCCATCTCTGCCCTACATATAACTCACAAACATTAGCTCTCTTCATCACAGTGAAGTCCTCACCACAGGCATCTAGAGGCATGTAATGCCTCGTTCAAACGATATCACACTTGACTTATATTTAACTGTAGCTTACTAAAAACCAAATATACTGTATGCATCCAAAGTAAAAATGAAGGGTCTATTTAAGGCCTCTGATTTAAAGATAGCTGAATCCGTTAATGACTTTAGCGATGTGTTCTGTACTTTTACTACACCATATCCTCCTATAAGGAGTCTTGCTCACTGAAAGTATGAGCAAGTACACAGAGAAAGAAGCCTTTCGTAGGAATGTGTGCCTTCTTTTTATATGTATGGTTAGTGCTAACTGGCAGTGCTTTCTGTGCAGGGAAGGGTTGAGCATTTGTTGAGCCTGGTAACCAGGATCCTTATTTGTCTGTTGTTGGCCTTCCTCATATTTGTTTAGAAAAAACCCAACCTTTACTACAAATAGAACGGCTCCTACTTAAACTAAGTGAATCCCTTTTTTGTTTGTCTGACCTAGTTATTGGATGATCAAAATGTACTGCACGTGTGACGTAGGTGAGTTTGCATTTTCAAAATATTTTTAACATGGCATAATCCCCTTACCAGATTCCATTTGAAGAAAAATGCAAAACAGTCATAGATCCTTCATGTTATTATTATTCCTGTTTGCAGACTGCCATTCTCTAAAATGCCATAGGATCTTTGCTTCTTGTTTTCAAGAATTATTCAGAGAAAAAAAGAAATGGACAAATTCCATTAAATACTAAATGCAGGTAAAGAAGATGTTTGTTTTATAAATATTAGTTTTAATTGTTCATTTGCCTGATTATTATTAACAGCTGTTTAACTAATGTAGTAGGTGTACAAACTGTAAGTACTGCTTTTTTAATTA